CAAGAAAAAAAATACTTATGAAATTTATCAAGAGAAACGGAAATTATTAGTAAACGAGCATTAACACCAACACCAACTTGGCGTGATTGAGTATATGTACATGTATATACACTTATAAGTAATCAAGTAGTTACTAGCTTATATGCTTTACAATATACGGTGATACTTGCTGTCTGCGTGATAGTCGATATTGATTTGATTAGAAGTAGAGTTTTAATACCAATGCATAATATAGTTGGGGTTGACTGAGAAAGCGTCAGCCTGACTTCTTTGGGTATCAGCCATCGGATTTAATAATTGTGAGGGGGAGCGGGTGTTAATTAGGATTTGATATTTCGCCGTTAACTGCACAGAATAAACTCTAAAAAGGTTTAGTAAGTTGTGCCATTGTAATTCTGTTATGCTGGCGTGAAAAGCACGCCAATAACCAAACTTTTTACACAGAAGACGTATGTATGCAAAATGCGCACCCAGAACTATTAGCAGTTATGCGTTTCAAACTTTGTATAGCTGCTGCCATACCATAAATTGATCGGTTGGAGTGCTCATTCTGCAGGGCCATGATACGAATAGCGTTAGCAAGATCGAAACTCTCTCTCTATAATAGCACAGTCAGGAATTTTTTCAGGGCAATACGTGGAAACTGACATAATACAGTTTCAGAATCACGAGACTTTACAAAGCAGGTTTCTGTTAAGTTGAACTTAAAGTTACGCTTCGCTATTACGACGAGTTCGAAACTAGACGCCACAGATATATCTTATTTCTTCGACTTTCTTGTCAATGAATACACCGAAGTCTATTATTATGATTATAGCCAGAAAAGAGGAGTAAAGATGCAACAGCTAGTGCTGTAGTAAAAGAAATGATGAAAACGATCAAGTATTTTATGTACTGTCTGTATAAATTGACTTTAGTAAGTTACTCTTTATATGAAAGACACTTCAAATTCTCTACGCTAACAATGTCGAGCACTGACTTTGGGAGAAATCTATAAACACTCGATGGCATACTTTTTGTTGGAGATTCCATATACGAAATAGATCAGAGCGTTCGGGGGATGCTTGGAGGTATTCGCGAACAAAATAGACGTACTAGCAACGACTTATGCAATAGTTGCTTTGTTTCCGTACCAGTATGTCACACAAAAGCTTTCAAATCAACCGCCAAAAAATCAAGGATAGGTACTTTGATAAAAAACTTTGCTTTTCCTTCCGCGCAAATAGTTCAAATATATTCGCGACAAAGGTATAGCCTTTTCATCAAAGCAGTAATATTTTTAGCTTTTCAATAACCATTCATTACGTGTATACGTATAGTTCAACGTTCCAAAATCGAAGAAGAGCGACACAAGTATGTAAAATTTAGCAACCCTGTGCGTGGACCCTGTCAATATACGTATATACGCGCGCCACAGCTGCTTTGGTCCTTCGGGCTTTGAAAAAGACGAAAGCATGCCAGCTCTCGTGTTCCAATGGAATCCAGCAGGATTTAACGATGTTGCCGCAGCACCAGGGCAACATTTTACATTTAGAAATGGTTATGCCATTGGCGATTGCATCAGACGAATGCGTGTTAACATACCAATGTATGAATGAAGTTTGATCTCTATTTTCAGATTCTTTAGGATTAACTTATCTATTCGTGAAGGGTGATAATCAAGATGGAGTCCCAAATGTCATCACAACAGCCATTAATCGGATCGCTGAACGTGAAATAGGCACGCCCTCGACCGCATTTGATCTTGAGGCATTCGACGAAATTTTTCGCTGATATTACTGATGCAAATTTAAGATACAAGTAAACTATGTCATACACAAGTGTGCCATATTAAACGTGCGTTTAACAATCGAGTAGTTCGTAGTTTCGTTAGCAAACATTATCTTCAACGTTATCAAATCAATCGAAGTCTTTATTTCATAATTTTCCCTTGCCTTTAGAATGGTTTTTATATTTTAAATAAAAAACCCGTTCTAGGTGGTAGTGGAAACGTTGTATGTACTACTTTAAACATCTACAACGTTCCTCCTCCAATCAAACTTGTATTATTGATATAGTATTTTGAGTTATTGATAAAGGAACGCATTTAATTCAGACCAAAGAATAGGTTATACTCATTAATGGCTTTGGGTCTGAATATTTCCTCCCATGCAATCACTCTGGTGCATTTAGTATTGTTTATATTTCAAAAACGCGCATTCAATAATCGAAATAATAAAATTTATGCCTACAAAACATTACATGTTTGACCTTTTTGATTGCAGTCTGAACACTCTAATTTTTTCACAGTAAAAGTCCTGGTTTCCCGCCACGGCCGGTTAAGGCCATGACGCTTCGCCAGAAGGTAGGACGTGTTAGTGGGAAGCTTTTAATTAAATTTATTTTCTTCAAGTTTTTGCTTCTTTTGGTTCACCATGTGTTGGTGTTGGTGTTAATGCTCGTTTACTAATAATTTCCGTTTCTCTTGATAAATTTCATAAGTATTTTTTTTCTTG